GTTCATAGCTGATTTCTGGTAAATGATAGTTGTAATTAGTGACAATCGATAGAATACAACTGCAACAGGCTAATCATTTCATTGGCAGAAAACATTAACATTTTGTGAAGGCCGTCGTCACTTGTGGTGCATGGTCTGCACCCGACACTTTCTCGCTTTTTGAAGGGAGGGTATAAGCGTGGGCAACGAGATTTTGCAGTCTTCATTTTATTATGTTACATGCCATTATTATTAATATTATTGTATTTAGCTATAAAAATCGTAGAAAATAGTGATATTTTGTTTTACAAATTATAGGAAAGAAGTGAGATATCGCACGCTGAAGTTGCTAATCTCATAACCACGGCGAACATGATATCCTTACGGAGCAGATTCAACGATGGACGGTTTTCTAGGCGAAAATGTTCGCGGAAATATGTGTGAACATGCACGGAAACCCCAGTCAACGCTGAAAGGTGTTTCCAAGATAACATGATAATTTCCTATCTTCAGAAATGTACGGCATTAAAAGTAAACAGCGTGGGAAAAACTAATCGTTCCCTGCACTCTCATTATTTCATTGTGCATTCTGCCTACATTTTCAAGACTATGCGGAAAATACTGCAGGGATGTTGTCACAAGCATGCTATGTTGTGGACCAACATTTAGCCCCAGGCTAAAGAACCCTTACTTCCCGGGCCGCCGTATTACAAATTGAATCGAGGAAACCGCTTCATTTGCAATCAGATTTTATTTATAAATTTACTAAGCTTATAGCACTTACACGGACTATGTATTCAGACAAATTTATATACAATTACTCAGATAAGTACGGACAGCGTCACGGAATAAATCGCAACATTGATCTTGATTACTACGTATCCGTACAATAAAATTAATGGCTTTGTATATGATTAAACTGTTCTATTTGTGAAATTAAAATTGTTTTTTGTTTTTGTTTTCTGATCTCATATTTAATTTCTTCTTTCCAGAAATTTATCCAGTTGGCGAATCAAAAGAGGGTTGGCCTCCGTGTCAAGTTCGTTTCAAGTTTGGAGGTCCTCGGTATTGTATACTCATTCGGAAACTAGAAGAAAAATCGGTGCAGACATCAGCACACCACAACCCGATACACGCGATAAAAAAGGGCCGCGGTCCTGGCCGTCGTCTCTTATGATGTGTGGTCTGCACTTGATTTCTTTCTCGTCTTCCGAAATCGAGTCTAATCAGCAGCATAACTCTCGTAATATAAAAGATGCAGGTTCGATCACGTTTGGAGCAAAGCGTTTACCCATGAGGTCGATGTCAGACTTTGCGAATCGAGCCATTCGCTGTATGCGACGCGACCATGGACGCTAGCAAATCCTTCGATTCGCAATGTCTGGCATCGGCCTAACGCACGATTAGCTACAGTTTTCGTATCGCGAACCACGGCGAAATATGCTATTAGGTTGAGCAAAAATTATCCTGTTTTCATTTCATTCATAAGTTATTAACAAAACCAAACAAAAACAACAATAAAT